CACCGGGCATGGCCCAAATTCTCCTTTCGCCCCAGTGTTCGGAGATGTGAGCGCACAGCACGAGGGGGAGGGCAGTGCAGGGCACGTCCGCATGGCAGCAGACGAGGAGGAGGGCGACGACGGAGACGAGGAGCTCATCCAGGAGACGCCCCAGGGGGAGCACGTCACCACGCAGGGAATCGCGAACCTCCTGAAGGAATAGTTCGGCCCCATGACCACTGCGGTGGGTTGCCTCCGCAACGACTTCTCCAATCTGAACGTGCGCCTGGACCAGGTGGAACAGCGCCTGAACATGAGCGACGTGCGGATCGATACGCTCGAAAGCATATGCACGTCCATTGAGCAGAAGGCGTTTCCAACCATGGACCCCGTGGGGGCCAAGATCCGCGAGTGCATCCAGGACTTCATAACGAAGGATGGGAGGGGGCGCTGGCGCCAAGGTGCGCTCCACCTCCGAGGTCTTGGAGAAGCGGGCCGTGAGCATGGTGATCGGAAACTTGGATGCGCTAGAGTCTCTCGAGAAGGCCCCAGCGTGGCCGAAGGACAAACTCGCCGCTGTGGGCGGGCCACCGCCAGAGAAGATCTACGCCACAGGGAACTACAGGGGAATCTTGTTCTGCGAAGTTCGGCAGCAATCCGCCCCTTCGAGACGACGCTGTTGACCTCCTACGACGTGCCAGCCTCAGGAGCGGGGCGAAGAGCGTATGGGCCAGCCAGGGCCGCTCTCCAGCGGACCGGGCAGCCCGGAATTTTTGTTTGGGACTCGAGCTGTTGTTGAAACATGAGTGGCAGGTGCAGCGCCGCGTCTCCGTCGACGGCGATTCCCCTTACGTCGTGATTGTCGGAGGCGAGCACGCTCTTACATCCAGTGTGGAGGGGCGCGACGTCTCGCGCGAGTGGCAGGGGGCTTGGGCCACGTGGGGTGCTTTACAAGGCAACCCCCACGTCAAGGAGCTGAGCGATAAGTCGCGCGAGTTCCTGACCCGAACGTCGATGGGCATGGGGGGGGGCGCCGGAAAGGGGGGGCAGAAAGGTACGTGGCGCCGAGGCGATCGACAACGCGTAAGAGTGGCCCTTCGCCGGAGTGACCTTCGGCGCTGGCCCAAAGGGGGTCGGGTAGTTTTGCTTGCGGAGTGAGCTTGGCCTCGCGTCGGCACCCGCGTCGCGCGATTACGCTCGCATCTGGGCGCGCCAGGTTCGGGCCCACCCCTTGCAATCGACAGCAACGCACGCGCGTCGCACCTTACAGCTTGCATTGGTTACTCGAGGGGGGGCCGGTCGACAAGGCGGCGCCTTGGGCCAGTCCCGAATCCAAGCCCAAATCCCAAAACGTTTGGTTTGGGATGTCTTTTGATATCTTTGGATATATGTGAATATGTTTGGATGTGTTTGAATATGTTTTTTCTCGAACCAATGAGGATTTTCATTTTTATAAGTGATCCAAATATATTCAACACATATTCTGGGCTCTCGGATGGGGCCGTTTTCGGCCATGGCGCCGGGCCCGGTCAGACGTCGTCGCGACGCAGCCGGGCAGTGCCAGACCTCGTCGCGGTGGCCCCCGGCAGCGCGTGTTTTCGCACCGCCTTCGAAGTGCCATTCGGGGTGCTCGAACGCAGTCGGGGAAATTCCGCGGTTGCCCGCCGGCGCGAAAGATATTTCGAGCGGCGCCCCGCCGATCGTTGATGCGGCGCAGCAGCGCCGGCTTGCGCGTTTGCGTTGGGCCCCCGCGGGCGCCCCTGAAGCCGCGCGCCAAAGGTCACTTTAGCCTTGGGTCACTCTTGCGCGTAGTCGAGGCGAATACAAAATAACCCCCGGATGCGTTTCCCCAGCAGTCGGCCTTGCTGCCACTATGGGCCCGAATCGGTTAAGGATTCAGTCCGCGATTTCGCCGCCCGCGCGCGCGCGCGCCCGCGCGCGCCATTTTCTCGCCGCGGTTATGGGCTCCAACTGTCCCGCGTGAAGGGCAGGCCCCCTCCTTCAGGCCCACTTGCCCTCCCTTCCTCGTTATTGATGCCACGATCATGTCATATCTCGTTATCGCTACATGCCCATCTCCCACTCCTCCTGCAGCACCGAGGGCGAGTCTGCCGACGCCCTTGGCGCCATGCCCCCGCCCGCCGCGCGCCCGATGCGCGCGCACGACGCTCGCCCCCCCCTTGCAAAAAAAAGGGGGGGAGGGGGGGGTGCTTCCAACAAGGGCGGCTCAAGGGAGGGGGGGGGAGCTTAAGCCTAGCCCCCCCTCCCCTTTGCTCGGGCCCTGCGGGCGCGCTCTCTCCGATATATCGGTTGGCGGTCACGGCGTTTTTTTGTTTTCCCCCTCTTTTTCTTGGAAACAATGGGGAGTAGGACCAACAGCAGCTCCTGCTGTGGGGCATCAGCCGAAGGGGGGGGAACCTTGACCTGAATCGCCCGCGATCGCAGGACTCGCTGTCGGAGGGCTGTTGGGCGTGGGCGATCATCAACAGAAAGCATCACCTGCCACGAGTTGCATCCGATCCTCGAGTCTCTCAAAGCGCTGAGATACAAGCTTGGTGCGCCCTCCTCTTCTCGTTCCTCCTCGCACCGTGAACACGTGCGGCTTATAACCCTCCTGCCCGTTCACGGTTGCATAGTTGCCGCCTTAATCCCCCTTGGCGCAATGTTGCCATGCGGCGCCCGCCTTTTCTCTGTTCAGCGCCCGCTCTCCTCGCCCTCCTTGTTTGGGCCGCGCGGGCCGGCAGCTTGAGCTGCGCACTGCCTGCGCGAGTCTGCTGTGCAGGCGAGGGCCCTCCAGCCCTTGTGGTATCCTCTTCGCTTGCTCGGGCAACTCGTAGCAAACGGCATCACGGTGGTCCGCTCTTTCCGGATCATATCTGCTCTCTGCCACTCTCTTTCTCCTTCCTCCTCTCTTCTCCAGCTGCTTCTGGTTGACTACCCAAGGGGTAGTGATCTTCCGCATCCTCCGCGAGGCCCTTCCAAGGCGCTCCGTTCCAGAGCACGCTGCTCGAGCAGCGTGCCGATGCGCGCTGCTCGAGTCCCCGCGCGACTCCCCCTCGTTCTCGTGTTCGCCGTCGCCGTTCCTGTCGTCCTCGTCCTCCGCCTCCTCATTCGCGCCGGCCAGCCCTCGTTTCAAGTGTTCTTCTGCCGTTCAGGTTTCTTCTTGCACCTGAGCGTCGCCCGCCATTGGCTGCTGTTGTCCGGTTTTCTTCTGCTCACACCTGAGCGTCGCCCGCTGTTGCTTGTTACGAGAAGGCAGTTACGCTTTCGCGTGTGGGCGATGTCTTCGGAGTAGAAGAGGAGTGCCCCAAGAAGGACCCAAGATGGCTTGGTACTGCCCCAAGATGACTCCCAGAGGGCCGAAATGGGGTTCCGCAGGAGCCCAGCACGCCTAGAGGCCCCCACGATGGCATACGACGGCACACAAGTGACCCAAGATGTCCCATGAAGGTTTCAAGACTGCTGAACGAGTGCCCAAGAGGGCCCAAACAATTCCTAGAGGGCCCTAAGAGACCGTAAGAGGGCTCCAAGAGGAGTCCAACTCAGCCTAGAGATATCCGCGCGAGAGTCTAGCGACAGCTGCGGAGGAAAAAGTGGAGGATGTATAAGACGAAAGGAATGAGGAGGAGAGGGAACCACCCACCTGCCCATCCCCGGTCACTCCTTCCTCCCCGCCATCCTCAGTCTCATGATCATCCTTTTTATTTTCTCTTTCTCCCCTCCCTCGTCCGCTATGCCTCCCCGCCTCCTTCCGACTTGCCCTGATTGTTTGATGCAAGTAACCCGATGTACACCGCGGACCCTGACCCGAGCCAGCAATCGCGCCTTCAGCAACGATCGCGCTGGTTGGCTTGGCAACCCGCGATTGCAGTACATTCGGCCACGGTTTCTCTTCCATGTTATACGCCCCAAGCGCTGTAGAGCCCGTGTGCGCGCGAAGCGCGCATAATGGGTCTAGTCGCATTTGTGTTGCCAAGCAGGCAGAAGATGCTTCAATGCGTTCGTGTCCTCGAATTAGAGGACTGCGAACCCGCCCCCTCCGACTGGTTACGGTTCGAAGGGACGAGCGTAGAGTAGATACACAGCCGGTGCGAAGAATTGTTGTTCATTCGGGCGTTGTTCTGAAACTACGTGACTGCACATCTCGCATGAAAGCCCACCAATGGTCACTCAATGTGTGCATTGGCCTGATTTCAGTGCCAACCATTGTGACCGTATTTCTGGGCGGCCGAATCGTACTACGCAAATTGACCATACCACGGGAGCGCGTTGGACCAGGTTCGCGGCGCTCAAGCGCAATAGCCCTGTATGCGGTGGTGGTTGCTCGGGCTGCTTTTGGGGGAGATTTCTGCCTTTCTGCATTACCTTCGCAAGGCCAGTCGCAGCTCCAGCGGTCAGGGGGGCCAAGAAGGGTATTAAAACAGCAAGGGTACCAAATCCAAGCCAGCAGCAATGTCCCGCTGCGATGCCCCGCTGGTGAGTTCTCGCTGCAATACCCCGGCGGAGAACCACCGTGAACGCCCTGGGCCACTTACAGCAGAAACGAAGGCCACGATTGCCACCGCACACGTTGATGGTGGTAATCACGATTGTGGGAATGACGGCGGATGGTTGAAGAAGAAAACTCCATAAGCACAAGTTTTTGGCGCTCCGCGCGGATTTCTTGGATCTGCATTGGGCCCCCCTGGCGACGCCTCCGGCGCCGCTCCTGGCGCGCAGAGGGGGCCAAAAGTTTATGCTTATGCCGGTAATTTTTTCTAGGTGGGGTTGGCGATGGTGACGACAGCGGAGGTGGGCCGTGGACGCAGAAGACGATGCTGCGGCGGCGGTGGGGGACGGGGATGGGGAGTGCGCCGGCCACACATGAGGAGGAGGCGAAGGCGGGGACGAAATCGTAGGGCAGGAGGAGGAGGACGAAGGGGGCGTGGAGGAGAGGGAGGAGGACGAGGCTCGGGGAGAGGACGAGGGGGCTGGCGGCCGCCCGGCCCCATGGGACGCTTCCCGCGGGCCCGCGTAAAGAGGTCGCCGTGGCCTTCCTGACACTCGCGGGCTGCCTGCTGCCCCTCCCCCTCGTGGTGGGCAGCTTCACGGACCCCGCCCGGCCACGTGCAGAGGGGGCTAGGGGGAGGGGGGAAGGCTTCTTAGAAGGAGACTGCTTCTTAGGATGCGCGAGCCCTGTCTGTAGATGTAAGGCCCGCGCCTTTCAAGAAGCAACGTCCTTCTACGAAGCCTTGGAGGCTGCTTCTTAGGAGGCGCGGAATTTGTTTGTATATATATATATATATATATATATAATGCCCGCGCCTTCTATGAAGCAGCCTCCTTCCAAGAAGCCTTCCCCACTCCCACTCCTCTCTTTATCATCCTCCTCCTTCTCCTCCTCCCCCATCCTCCTCCTCCTCATCATCACCATCACCATCAACATCACCATCACCATCAACATCACCATCATCATCCATCATCATCATCATCATCATCATCATCATCATCATCATCATCATCATCACCACCAGCAGCATCATCATCATCATCACCATCACCATCACCACCACCATCAACATCACCATTATCAACATCCCCCTCCTCCTCTCCCTCCTCTTCCTCCTTCTTTTCCTCTTCCTCCTCTTCTCCTCATCATCTTCATCCTCCTCCCCCTCCTCCCCCTCCTCTCCTCCTCCTCGTCCTCCTCCCCTCCTCCTCCTTTCCCTCTTTCCTCCTCCTCCTCCTCCCCTCCCCCTCCCCCCTCCCCTCCTCCTCCTTTTCCTCATCCGCCTCCTCCTTCTCCTCCTCGTCGTTCTCCTCCTCCTCCTCCTTGCCCGTCCGCCTGCCCCTTTTGTGCGCGCCACCAACCCGCGGCGCCGCCCGTCCGCCCTCCAGCGTCGCGACCCCGCGCCGCGCCGCGGGGGCGCGTCGTGCCGCGCCGCCCGCGGCGGCGACTTTAGTGCGCGCCGCGCGCGCAGGGCTGCCGTGCGCATCGGGGCAGGTGCGAGACGTCCTGGTTCGCCTACAGGAAGAATATCCAAGAATAGCGACGACATCATTTAGGGGATGGTTTTCCGATTATTGGTTTTGATAATCTTCGAACATGTGTGGCGTAGTTTTTCTTTCCTTCACACTCTGCCTGTAGGAGGACATGCCGGACCTAACTGTAGGCATGGCCCACCAGAACGTGTTCTAAGAACTCTGCCCTTGCGGTTTGCACGGAAGGATGTCAGAACATTTCTGGCTGAGACGTTTTGTTTTAGTCCGTTTGGTTCGCACTCTAGACTATATGTTGCTTATTCCCCAACGTGTACCTGCATGCAGGGGATTTTACTTATGGAGTCAGGAACGGGGCTTGATGGTCTGGCGCTATGTTGTCGCCGTCGCCGCCTCGTCGCCGCCCGTAGTCCAGGCCCGGTTGTCGGTCCGTCGCCGCCCGTCGATTGGGCCTGCGTGCCAGTCTGGCGGTTTTGTTGTCGCCGTCGCCGCCTCGTCGCCGCCCGTAGTTTGGGGGCGATTTGTCGGTCTGGCGGCTATGTTGTCGCCGTCGCCGCCTGACTTGTACAACGTAGACTGCACGCCACACAGACTGCACCACATAGATTACACAGCCTAGATTGCACAACGTCGATTGCACCACCTCGATTGTAACGAATACATTCTCCTTTCTTAAAAGAGAATAGGTTCGACTCCCCCTTGGGAATATCGGTTCCCCTTTACGTATTGGAGTTTGCATGCGATTTTGCCCCACCGTCCATCCTAAGCATGAGTTCGTAGCATCCCAGGCAGGCCAGTATCGACCCCCTGTCATGCTGTGCCAAAAGAATATGCGCGCGCATTCGTTTATCAACAACCATACGTTTTTACTGTTGCATTTGATGGGGCAAAGTGCACACGCGCGCGTTATCGCGCGCGCGTGCCGAAATCCTTCAACAACCTTCGGCTGTGCAAGCATGAAAAATTAGGGTGTCCAACCGGCATATGAAAAAATATGAGTTCGCAACACGGGTTTCCACAAAAAACGTGCGTTCGCGTTCTTGTGAATTCTTGAGACAACCATCGGTTTTCAGCGCGTCTTCATAACATGCTACCAAACGGGTTTCGCGCGCATCCTTTGCAACCGATGCGACGAAGCTCGCGCGCGCGTCGTCGCGCACGCATGCCGAAATCCCTCGAACCCTTCGGAAGGATTTAAAAGTCGAGTGTCCAATAAACATGTAAAGCAAACAATAGTTTCGCACCAGCAGTTTCCATTTCTCTGCATATAGATAAGACAACAAAAAGGCGATCGCGCTCCTGCGACTTTCCCCCGCGCAAAAAAGAAGTTCTTCCACGTTCACCTTTGCCAAACGATCCACTCGCACCGCATGTCGAAATACTTCGAACGCCGTTGCGCGCGTGTTGGGGGGGACACGATCCGAGCATTTCCCACGCGGACCGCTCTCGCGCGTCGGCCGCGCGCGCGCGTCGAACTCCTTCTCCAACCTTCATCACCGGCGCGAGTGCGCCGTCGTCGTCGTCGGCGCCATCAGCGTCGGCGCCGTCGCTGGCCGCGCCGCCGCCGCTGTCGCCATTATCGCCAGCATCACTACTATCATCATCGTGTCTACCACTGTCGACGTCGCCATGATGCCGCGCCCGCCCAAGTCGCCGACTCGCACTGAAGTGCCCGCTGGGACGCGCCCGGCGGTAAGCGCCACCGCTGCCGCGTCAGTCGCGCCAAATTAGCTGGCCGCTGCGCGCGCGAGCGCGCGCGGGCTAGCGCGGCCGCAGAGATGCACCAGCTCGATGCCGAGGTGCCGACAATCCGACGCGGCCCGATACCCACATGTGCGTCGTGGTGCATCTCGGCGCGGCCGATCCGATTCGATTCCGGCTCCGTGGCGATGCGGCCCGGTTCGACGTTGAGTGATCTTGAGGGCTCAGTGGGCCCTGGAAACGACAGTTTTTTTTACCGGTTCCGTTTCGCCGTTTTCTTGTTGGTTCTGTCGCCGATTTGTTGCCGGTTCCGTCGCCGTGTGTTTGTTCGGTTCCGGCTCCGGTTCCAGTCGCGGAGCCGTTTCCCGTTGCTGTTTCCTGTCGCCGTTTTTTTCACCGTTTGCATGTTTAAGAAATCTTGTTTTGGAGAACGATAGGCGGCCTTGCCGTTTCCGAGGTAAGGGCGGGGCCAACGGAGGTTTTTTGTTCGGATGCAATTCTTGGGAGGTAAAATTCAGAGTCGGCGCTATTAGCTCCCTGGTCGGAAAGCTGGCCAGATCTGGCCTGAGCCTACTCAATCAGGCTTGCTCCTGTTTGATCCCGCTGAATCCAGGGCTTAATCGGGCTGAGTCCCGGGCTTAGTCCGGACTGATCCGGCTTCACGGCCTTTTGGTCGGGCCTGCTAGCCATGCATCGCTATTGCGAAGACCTCCCATGAGTAGGGCGACGGGATCTATACGTCTGCACTGCCTCAAGCCTGGCCCGCCGTTCTTGGCCCAGGAGCGGTTGCATGCGCCCTCCTGGCTATTGCCAGTGGTGCACACAGTACACCGCTCCTGGGCCCAGGACGGCCCAGGCCAGGGGCAGTGGACAACTGTATGGATCCTGTTGCCCCCAGGAGTTGCCTCCATGACAGGGCTCGTTTCGATTTCTCCAGTTCGATTCGCTTCCACTTCGATAGCTTCCGATCCTGATTCGATTCGATTCGAGATTCCGATTTGGGTTCCGATTTTTTATTGGAGGCATACTGGCCTGCCGATTTCCGCAGATTCGACTCTTCCCGACTCGGCTGCCGATTTTCGCGGATCAGATGCGTTTCGATCGCCGATCCAACTTCTTGATTCGATTGGACCCGCTTGGGAGGAGGAGGAGGAGGAGGAGGAGGAGGAGGAGGAGGAGGCGATTCTGGGCTCTCCTGCGCGAGGGGCGGAGCCAATCGAACCCTTCTGGGAGGGACCCACGGACGGACAGCTCGCGGCGAGCTGTTTCCGCCGTGGGCCCCTCCGATACGATAAGATTTCCAAACCTCTGAAACGATATCTTTGGGAGTACTTTTATTCCCCCAGGGACATCTCAATCTCTCCCTGGTCGGAGCTCCCCGACCATAGAACTCGCCGTGCCGCGGCGGAGGACGGGCTGGCGGCGCTCTGGGCCAGCGCCACGGCCGTGTCCAACGGAGCGCAGGCGTGCCGCGGCGCCTGCGCGCGGCGCCTGCACATGCGGCTGCTCCGAGCCGAGGGCCTCCAGTGCGGGCAGCTGAGCGGGGAGCAGGAGGAGGGAGGAAGAGGGGGAGGAGAAGGAGGAGGAGGAGGAGGAGGAGGAGGAGGAGGAGCAGGAGCAGGAGGAGGAGGAGGAGGAGGAGGATGGAGGAGGAGGAGAGGAGGAGGAGGAGGGAGGAGGAGGGAGGAGGAGGAGGAGGAGGAGGAGGAGGGAGGAAGAGGAGGAGGAGTGATGAGGCTGAGGAGGAGGAGGCAGAGGAGCAGGAGGGGGTCATCTGCGGCGACACTGGCGCGTAAGCCGTCCGCGTGGTGTCGCGCGCAGGCGCCCTCGTCTCCTGTGCAGCGTGCCGCGGCGGCTCGGCCCTCAGTTGGCCCTGGAAGCGGCAGAAAATAACTCAGGAGGAGGAGGGGGAGGAGGAGGAGGAGGAGGAGGAGGAGGAGGAGGAGGAGGAGGAGGAGGAGGAGGAGGAGCGGCCCGTGTTTGGCCACGTTTGGCCTCCAAGGGGCCCTCAATGGGCCCTGGGACCGTCAGACAACGACTCAGAACGAACAAACAAACGCCCCAGGGCAGTGGTCCAGACCGCATCGAAAACACTGGAGCGCCGGGTATCTGGGGAGGGCCGGGACAGGGTCCATTTCAGTCCGATCGATCCGGTGCAATATCGACTCGACGTCGATCGCGGCAGGCTCGATGCGACTGGATGCCGGTGTGCCGACGATCCGACGCAGCCCGATACCCACATGGGCGTCGTGGTGCATCTTGGCGCGGCCGATCCGAATCGATTCCGGCTCCGTGGCAATGCGGCCTGGTTCGACGTTGAGTGATTTTGAGGGTCGGGGGCCCCGCCCCGCACCGTTTCCGAAAAAGTGCCTCTTGGACATGGAAGCGGGAACAACAATGACAGAAGTACTAAATAACGACCTCGAGGCTCGAAAGTATCGACGTCCTCGGTCTTCAACATAATATCAATAAACGAAAGCGACGAATTGTACGAATCAGAAAGTTATATGTTTTTGCGAAGAGTATCGCCCCGACGACATCGGACCCCGACAGGAGGAGGAGGAGGAGGAGGAGGCGCGGGCCCAGCGCAAGTCCCAGAAATCCGCGCGGACCGTCGGAAGTTTATGTATAGGTGTGTTCTTCTTCCTCTAGGTTGTGCTGGTGACGGTCATGGTGGTGTTGGTGCAGGAGTAGGACGGCATTCGGCGGAGAGAATAGTACCGATGCCGCGACTGTTGCCTCGCTTTCGCCCTTCTGAGCCTTCTGGGAGCTCTCGTCACCAACGCTGGACTCGCTTCGAAATCTTGGTCAGCATGCGCCACGGGAGTGCCGAATCACAGATAACTGCATAAACATGATTTCCATGAAGTCCGCGCGGACTTCTTGGATCGGCGCCTGCCCCTTCCAGCAACGCCTCCGTCGCCGCCCCTGGCGCACTCCGTGCGCCAGGGAGGGGATGAGCGCAGATCCAATAACTCCGCTCGGGCCGTCAACAGATTATGTTTCTGCAGCTTTGTCTGGTCAGCTTTGTCAACATGTTGCTTGCGCCGGGGGCGTCCATGCTTGGAGGGGGACCGTGCAATTTTGCTCCTCTACCCAGAAAGCAAGCAACATGATAACTTCGACCGTAGGGAAGCCCCGATCCCGACCCGCAAGTACGGAACTTGCCCTGACCCTTGATACCCTTTTTTCGCCATCCCCACCCCTCCCTCTCTCTTTCCCACCATCTCTCTTTCCACGTCTCTCCCTTCACCCTTCCCCTCCCTCCACGTCGTCTCGGCGTTTTCGGTGCCGTTTGGTGCTGTCTCTTGCCCCTGGTACTTGGGACCAACATCGCAGTACCCCCCTCCCTCCACTTTCTCCTACTCGTCGTCGTCCTCCTTTCCCGTCGTCACCGTCAGCCTCCCCCCCTGAAGGCCGACGTTGCGGAAAACATGCACCACCGCCAGAAATCACAACTGTAGCCCCCGTAGCCATTCTTGGCTCAAGACGGAGCTTACCTCCCGTCCCGATTCCAGAGGCTCGAGGCCGAGGTGGAAGGGCACCCCCTTTCCGTCAGGCCTGGCTGCCTCGGCCAGCTTTCCGCAACCATCCCGCCACACCAGAGTGCGATTGTCACCCATCGGCCGAAGGGTCATCTCTCACAACCCGCGTGTATCGGCCTAGTGTTTCTGATAGGATCGGCGCGATGGCTCGTTGCATGTGCCTTGCCTGTCCACTGCATGGCTGCAGCGGCTGGGCCCGAGCTACACATTGCACCAATTGTGGCACGAATCTCGCAGTCATGCAGCGGCTGGGCTTGGGCAGATCGTGGAACTACCCGTTGTACCAACTGTGGCACGAAGTTCGCAGTCAAGACGATGGCGCTCGCAAGCCTTCTCCCAGCAAGAGGAGGACCCGCGTTGTCAGGTGCCCGCTCGGCGTCGCGAGGGCGGCCCGGCTTATGTGACGGAGGACATCAGCCAGCAGGACGAGGCCACGGGCGATGGCAGCGTGGAAGTCTCGCGGGCCCCCTGATGCATCAGACGACTGCAGAGGATAGCGAGAGCATGTCATACCACACAAGGAGAAAAAGGGCGTTCGAGGTGAAGTTTTTCCATCCACCATCGAATTGGCCCAAGCCCAGGTCACCTTCTGGAAGCCGTGGAAAGCCGACACTTCGAAGGAGTACAAGGACGCGGTCGAGGCCCTCAAGCAGACCAAACAGGTCGCTTTACAAGAGAAGACCCCCGATCAGCAGCCTCAGAGTCTCACAGGTCAGCTCAACCAGCAGAACCGTCGCCTTCAGCTGACGAAGAACACGGTCATCCATCTCACCCAGCAGTTGGCCACAGTCTCAAAGAAGCAGAAGAAGCCCATTGACGAGATCCAGGATATCAGCGCGGACGTCCAGCGGCTGCAGGCGCAGCTGCCGGTGGCGCAGCAGGCGGCAGCGCAGCAGGCCACCAAGGATGTGCCGATGTCCGAGGCAGTCAACTATTTCATCGCAGGTCGCAGCAACAAACCTGATTACGGAGGCGATCCCACCCGCTCTCGACCAACACCTCGAAGCTATGTGCGCATGCTTGGAGAAGATCCAAGCGCAGCAGCAGCTGCAGAAAGATAAGTACGTACCTAACGATGTTCTAGACGCCCACGCAGAAACGCAACCAGGTGCAGAAGCTGAAGGTGAAGGTGCTGCCGCGCCGAGCCCAGTGGCTTCTGACATGAACGACGATGGGCAGATGGCGGAGGCGCGCACGAGGGCCCTTGACCAGATGCAGACCGTGCACGCGACAATGGTCACAGCAGGGCTCACCAACGAGGACGCGGCCAAGAGGCTCAAGGTCGTGGTCGGCCAGACAGCAGCGAAGGCGGCGGCGTCGTCATCTTCTGAGTCCTCAGATTCTTCCTATCATGGCCTACAAGCTCGTCGCGAACAATGACAGCTGCGCTCGCAGGAGTGCAATCTGTGCACAGAGCACTTCATCACGCAGACAGCTCAGTGGTGCCATCGCGGGGGATGGCAAGCAGTATGTCAGGCAGGCGCATTCAGCTCAACCGAAACACCTTCGGCTGGAGTTTATGTCCTGGTCCGTCGCGGTTTTGATTTTGAAGTTCAAAGTTTGGAGTTGCCTTCTGGAGCTCAGGATCTGGTGCCGCAGGGGCGCCTCGCGGGGGTTCGGATGGAGATACCTGGGCGAGGAGTCGCGGGCATCCTGTCAGCCTGCACGCAGGTTGGCGCAGGCCTGGATGAAATCAACCGAGGCATGTCGGCAGCAGCTGCAGTGTTGCAGAACGAAAATCATATGCACATTTCTCCAGCAGGAGACTAGAAAGTTAACCCCGCAAATATTTAGCCGCATGGATTCACGCTGCGAGCTGGAATGGCAGTTGGCGCTGCTGATGCCCCGACATGTCTCACGAAGCATGCCCAGCCATGTTGGGGATGCGTTGTGTTTCGTTAGTGTCTGAGGCATGTGTTTTCGGGACCGCTCGTTCCCGACTGATGCCCTCTACGCGCCGCCTAGCCAGCATAGACATCTTGGCCGACGATGGCTCCGCCGCCCTGGTCTCGCGCAAGCCGCGGCGCATGCCGACCGAGCCAGTTCTTGGGTCCAAGACGCCCGAGCGAGAGTGGCACGCTGCAGAGGCAGCGCTGCAAGCAGCCGAGGCCATCCTCCGCTGCGGCGCCAGCCCACTGAATCCAGATGAGCAGCGCAGAGTTGTTGATCTGGTCTATCATGTTTTGGCCAGGGGTTTGGAAGTTACGGTCGCCGAATTGACCGATGTCGCGTTGCAACCCCAGAGCCCGCCCCCCGAGGGCCCGCTGGATCGTGGCGGAGCAGGTTTTAGAGGACCGCCGAGTCAAGTGGAAGTCACATGCAGGACCTTTTCGCTGGATGCGCAGCGCGGTGCAGTTTGTTCTCAAGTTTCATAGGCTCGAGGCCGCAGGGCTCCAAGCTTAGCCGAGTTTCTGGAAGACCCCCCGCCAGAGTTCCAGAATTCCACGGTCCTCCAGCAGTGCCTCCACAGCACCCATCAGAGCCTCCAACTCCTCATCCTGGATGCGCAAACGGGGGCCCTGGAATCAGAATTGAGCCCCGAGGCTTTGGATGGCGTTTTGAACCGCATCACCGAGTCGATTGGTAGGGAAGTCGACTTGGAAAAGAGAGACGCCTCTCGGGCCTGGCGGTAGTGGGTCCAAGTAAGCACTCAGGGCAATGCTGGATGGGCTCGCAGGTTGGCCAAGGTTTTGGACGCGTGGCCCCTCAAACAGTACCCTGGACAGGCTCGTGGACTGGGCGCCCCTCCAAGGTTCTCGACCGCGATGCCGATGGACTCAGCCGGCTTTGGGACACCATTGGAAGTAGGCCTCATTATCAGGTGCCCCCAGGGCCCTGCGAGCCCCAGCTGCCCATGATAGAACCCCAGGAGTTGACGGGCGCTGCCTAGCAGTTCTCTCGCGCGACCTCCGCGACGCGGGGCGGCTGTGGGCCTGGGCATGTCCAGGGCCTGGCGCTTGGCCAGGCGCAACTTGTCTGGCATGCCGCTTCCTGCTTCTCGTCAAGCTCATGGGTGTTATGCCCAAGCAGCTGCACGCAGTAGTCCCGGTGCCGATCCCAAGCATGCCGGGACTTCACCACGCCCGGTCCAAGGTCCGCCAATGAGAAAATCGGCAATAGGATTTGGCGCGCCAAAGGAGTTCCATTGCCACCTGGCGGGCAAGAGCATCGTGGGCGTTTTTTTTGAGGGGGGGCAGTGTCTCAGGGCTGAGAGTGGAGCGACTCGTGAGGTGCGATTGCATTCAGGAGCTGCGCTGTGGGACCTCAGCAATTATTTCGAGTGCGTCAGTCACGCCAAGCCGATTGAGAGGGCCCGCGACACGGGTTTCAGCAGCAAGATCCTCAAGGTTGTTTTAACGCAGCACAGCAGCCAGCGCCTGGTTACCACCAAAAAATTTAGCGCAGATGGTCAACCATCCGGCGCGAGGCATTGCGGTTGGCTGCGGGCGGGCGACTTTTCCAGTGCAGGTTTACAGCTCGGGGCCCCTGAACAGCTGGAGCAGCAAAAACCTTAACTGGGGCCGATTTGCAGATGACCATCGGCGATTTGTTCCTGGGACCGCAGCATCAAACGCAATAAGGCCGAGCCCGAGAGTTGCAGCGCGCTGCGGCCAGGCTGACTGTCATCGTTCAAGGAGGCCTGGAGCGCAAGCTCGCGCAGCACAAAGCTCAGGTCATAGCTTCGAACCCTCGGCTCAGGCAGAAAATGAGGGAGGCCCTGGGTGAGTGCGTCGGCTCCAAAGATGCCCACTCGGCAACATATCTAGGCGCGGGCCGCTCTGCTGGAGCGAGGATTCGGATTTGCAGACGTCTTGCCAAGGCGACCCTTAACCGACGATCTGTGCGACGGCGGACTCGACGGCATCGGATTCGAGCGGCTAAGATAGCTGTAGGGAATGCACGGAAACCTTGGGCCACAGGCCTCCACCAGGCCATCCTACGGGGCCGGGGTGGTGGGGATTGGTCATTGCGGGCATCGGAATCTGCCAGCAGAGTACTTGCGGACTATTGTCCAAAGATGTGCTACGCGAAGGCGGCCCTTTAGTTGGACTGTTCTTAGAGACCCCATCGCGGCGTGCAGGCTTGGGGCCTGCCCGTGCTGATGCGGGCGACGACGATCTGGGTCGCGGCCGCTCAGGCCTCGCACCCTCGGGGATTTCTAGAACCGAAGGGCCTGGCCGAACCCGTCCTCGCATCCCCCCTTCCAAATCTTCCGCGGAGCGAGGCTCCTTTGGAGCCGCCATCCTATCCCTCAAGAGGACAGGCTGGAGTTGCCGTTCGATTTTTGGGCTGCAAGACGAGAGCGGGCTCGCGCGGCCGCCCACGACCCGCGCGCCTAGAATGTTGCCCCGGAAGACGCAGGCAGCCCGGGGCAGGCCCAACCCAAAAAACGCTCTGACTTTCGGGCGCCCAGATGCTTCATAGATAGTAATATTTTGAATCAGAAGGCCAGGTCCACAACCCACAATCGTTTGCGTTCTCACCCAGTGCATTAGGACGCAGGCTGCGACGTCGACCAGAGATGCCACTGCGGAGCTGCGAGGGACACTCTGAAGCGAGGGCTTCTGGATTGCAGCGCCCCGGCCGGATCGCGAGCGCACTTAGACTTCACAGCAGACGAGCTGGAGAGTAGAACCAATATTTCCGACCAGGTCCTGGTCTTCGGTTTTGAGTTTTACCGGAATTCGATTCAGGGGCCCCAGCGGGCTTCAGGTGCGAATGCGCAGATTTCTAGCGTCGGGGCCCCGACCTTGCTCCACAGGAAGCTTGTTCCCTGGGGGTCCCACGGGTGGCTCTTGTTTCAAACCAGGAGCTAAATGTTACAATCTAGCGGGCTGGGCGATAGTGGCCATAGGCGGCCGCAGAGAAGTCGCCGCCTGCGTGAAAGGGCGCGCGGGCAACCTCACCCCTCCTACCTCCCCCGCTGCCGAGCGCTGCGCCGTGCTTGCCGCCGCTATTGACGCCCCCCCCGCCTAGATCTTTGTATATTACGCAGGAGCTATAGACGTCCACCAGAAGAGCAAACAAATCGCGGGCCGACCTGCACGGGGCCTTCATGGTCCAGGCGGGGGCCAGCGCGGCCCCGCGTCGGCCCCGGGCTCCACGGCATGAAAGCGCATGTCGACCTGGACTCTTTGACCCCTGGCATTGAAGAGCAGCGTCGGGCTAGTGGCAACGATGCCGCTGGCAGACTTGCGAGGGTAGCCGCTGCCAGAGGGCCCCAGATGAAAATCAGCAAGCTTGAGCATCAGGCGACTCAGACCGCCACTCTCAAGAGATACATCCGATATGCTTCAGAAGCCCTCCAACTCTGGCCAAGGGTCGCGCCGATGGCTGGATCCAGAGGGCTCGCCAAACCAGTCAAGAGCTCAAGCCCGTCTGTCGGAGTGGCCGCAGCTCAGCCCGCCTGGGAGATCGATGCGCCGCCGCAATCGGTACCTCCTCCTCCTCCTCCTCCTCCTCCTCCTCCTCCATCGGCTCCTGAGGATGAGCTCGAGAATCCCAGGCGGTCGCACGCGCGGCACAAGTGGGGCAAGGGATGGCTCTGCGCGGCATGCCGACAGCGGCGTGCGATCCATCATGGTTTCAAGAGACGCGTGAAGAAGCATGGCCTTGGATTCTGTGCACACCACAGTGAGCTGCTGGCCAATCCGCGGGGCCACCAGCCATATTGCTGGTACATTGACGACAGGCCGTCGAGTAGAGTTTTTGCGCTGGATGGGTGGCTCGCTCACAAAGGGAACCCGGGGGCTTCAAGGCGCGTGCCCCGAATCCCCCCCACAAACGGTCGCGCGTTGCAATGTCAGCGTGCTCGGGAAGGGAAGCGCCCCAAAGGTTCCGCGAGCATGCCCATCTTTTTGAAGAAGCCAGTCCCGCTGGCCCAGCTTGCGAGAGAATTGGCCGAGACAAGCTCCACTGCATATCGCAGTAGGCAGATCGCAGACAAGCGGGATCTCCCCCAATCTGCGCGCTGGCCCCCTCCCCCCCGAGTGCAGCCCCGGCATTGCACTGCCGCAAAACGTCTGGCACCGCAGCGTGGCGCGGGCGTTGCGTTTGGCCCCCCCCCCTGCCCCCACCCCTTCTCCCCCCCCCCCCCATGGCGCCCGCTATCGCCGCAATGCAAAAATGCTCTCCGTGTGGCGCTGAATTCGTGCTCGATGCGTGAGCCCCAGAGGTCTGGACCACTTCCCCAGGGCCCGCTTATCGCCCAGAGTTGTTTTCTGACGATTTCGGGATCCGTTGAGGGCTCCTCCTCCTCATTCTCCTTCTCCTTCTCCTCCTCCTCCTCCTCCTCCTCCTCCTCCTCCTCCTCCTCCTCCTCCTCCTCCTCCTCCTCCCCCCCCTGGAGGCAGCAAACAGCAGAAACAATGACTGCTCCAGTTGTTTCTGGGCCTCGCCTCTCTGGGTCTTCGCGCCAGGATTCGGTTTCTGGGCCAGCACTCGGGCCTCCAGCCGCCGCTCGGGACCGTCCGAGCGCCCCCGGGCGCCACGCGGCGAGGCACAGCCGTTGGAACGCATCCCGAGGTTGCAAAACAGCGGAGAACCGGCGACAACATCTGAATACTTCGATATTCGGGGGCGGAAAAGAGGGGGGTGATGACTAGGGGGGGTGGATCTCATGGCGGGGGCCATGATATCTCCCCAGATTTCATGGCGCCTCTTCTTGTTTCATTACGTCCCAGGCCCCCCCGCTGGGCCGCGCACGTGCCGCCGGCCATGATTTGCACCCCCCCCTCTTGGACACCCCCTCTCTTGGCCGCTCCCGAGATATTGCGAACGCTTTACGGCCGGTGCCGCCGACCTTGAAGGGAGACGACGACGACGACCCCGACGACGACGACGACGACGACGACGACGCCTCGACATGTTTTGGGAAACGGGGATCTTCGGGCCCCCGCCAAGTCGCTCAGCATCAGCGACAGCGCCACCATCGAGGCTTTCCAGGAGCGGAGCCGAGCGGCCGCCTGCCGCCCCCCACCGCAGCGGCGCCCCCCCCTCACCCCCCCCTCCCGCGCAGGAGGGGGGAACGCGAGCAGGCAAGCAGTGGCCAAGCGTCCCAGCTCGCCGCATTATAGGCCCACCAGATGTTGCGGCTTCCACGACGTGCTCTTAGAACATGTCGGACTGTCGTGCTTCCACGCATCGGGCTTCTGTTCTAACAGCCTTGCTTTTTGGCTGCGGACTTTTCGAGGTTCTAAGAACATTTCGGTCTGGGGCTGTCGTGTTTCCACGCATCGGGCTTGTGTTCTAACAGCCTTGCTTTTTGGCTGCGGGCTTTTCCAGGTTCTGAGAGCATGCCGTGGTAGGCCTACCGGAATATGCCGGGACGCTCGGTCCCTGCTCCACCCCGCGCAGGGACGGTCGGAACGCGAGGAGGCCGTGCGGCCGTCTCCTGCGCCTCCCGGCTGTGTGCTGCCAGGAGGGAACGCCCGGACAGGATCGGGAACCCCCAAACCCGGTGGTGAGATACCGGGTGGCGACCTGGAATCCCCAAAAAGGTCACCGCTGGGTTTGGGGACGCGGGGTCACCACCGGGTTTTGTGACTCCTGGGCCCCCCAGCGTTCGGGACGTCCTCGGAAAACCGCACGAGTCCCCAAACCGGGTGGTGACACCAAATCGCCTGAGACTCACCGCCAGGTGTTGTCACTACCACGTTTGGGGACTACCAACATGATCACGTCGTTCAAGAAATTCAGGACGGGAGGTCTTTGGCCAATTTCGGCCTCGGCGGGCCCTCACCGGGCCTCGGGACCGTCAAACAACGGTTCAGGATGAAAAACCGGTCCCAGGGAAAGGGTCGGGATTTCCAGGGACCCCGTATTGACAAAAATCAAGACGTCGCATGTTTGGAAACGGGTCTTGACGGAAACGGGTCTCGAGGGAAACGGGTCCTTTGGGGCCCTCCACGGGCCCCGGGACCGTTCGAAAACGTCTCATGGCGAGGAGCCCGTCCCGGGGGAAGGCCCCGGGGTCCAGGACCCGTCTCCCTCGGGACTCGTTTCCCCACGCTAATTCCGTTTCGCTCTCTCGAGAGCGCTTGCGATCAGTTTTGGAGGGTGGCCGCGCGCTCCGGAGGCGCGAGTGGCCAAGCAGGTGTGCTGCCGCGGCGTGGTCGGACAGTGGCCGAACCCCAAAGCCTGGGGGTCCCACCGTGCGGTGGAGGGGGGGACCCCTTCGGGTGCCCCACGGCAGGGAGGGAGGAGGAGGAGGAGGAGGAGGAGGAGGAGGAGGAGGAGGAGGAGGAGGAGGAGGAGGAGGAGGAGGAGGAGTAGGAGGAGGAGGAGGAGGAGGAGGAGGAGGAGTTTTGGAGTTCTGGATAGGACGGTCGGATCTAAGTCGCCCAAGCATTGGACTTCAACCATCGCGGATCCCGCCTGCACCACAGCGGGCTAGTCAGGTGTGTCAGAGTTCAGGTGGCAAGGCCATCAGTTCGATGCGGTTGAAGTTCGAGGACTGCCGCCCTGGGTACGCTCGAGGAGGATAACGCGGCATTTTTGTTCACCGCTGCGTGTCGAGGTCCTAGTGTTTGCCACGTCGCCTAGGTCGGGCCTATTCTTATCACCGCAGGTACGCAATAACCCCGCCGCTGATGTTTGCCCGGCCTGGTAGGGCTCCGGGTTGCGCACAGCCAGGCCCCCCCAGGTAGTCCCGACTGGCCTCATCAGCCGTCGCGACTAGTCTCAGCTGGGCTCAACAGGCCCCAGGCCCCCAGTGCAGTCTGGGGCGGTCTCAATACGCTGGCGCCGCCTCTGGCGGCGCCACCTGGTGCGCTCCGCGCCACAGCGTCGAGGTATTGAGACCGCTCTGGACTATCCGGGGGGGCCTGTCGATGCTGGGCGGGATTGGCTGGGGGCGGCTGTCGGCGCGCAAGCCGAAGCCTTGCCAAAGAGGCCCAGAGCAACCCCAACATGTAGCAACCGTGCTGCAAGCTACCGTCCCGTCCCCCGCTTCGTTCCTCACGAGTTCCTGGACGCCCTCCTTCTCGCTACAAGGAATGCACCTGTGAAACATCAACACCCGACGGGCCTGCCACTTCAGGCACGCAGCTTTGAGAACAAACTTGCCTTGCATGTTACTAGCGTTGTGGAGGACGATCAATGGAGAGGAAGCATGTTGCCAATGTGTTCCCAGATGTCTAGGAATTGTGTTAAAACATGTTTAAACATGTGAAAACATGTTTCACATATGTTTAGAACATTTGTCCCACATGATAAACACAGTTTCAATTCAATGATAGGACTGTTAGGGTGTCCATCGTCGTGGCATCCACAAGTGTAGCTAGGGACGCGGGAAGCTCTGATCAGGCAGGTCAGCGAGGTGTCCATGGCCATCACCGTTTGCAAAAAGAACCGGCCCCATGTGTGCAACTACTACTCAAGGCCACAGTTCGGTCGTGCACTTCGAGGAAGTCCCACTCGAACGCCCAAGTATGCAAAGGAACCGCCTTCTTGCCGTGTATATGTTACAGGAGTTTCTGCTCAACCGGGGTGTTCACGGGAGCGGTCCGTTTTGCCGGGGAAACGTGAGATTCGAGTGCGCAGGAATTCGGTTTCGCTTGCGGTTCTTGACTTGCGCGTCCCGAATTTTGATGGGCCAGTTTTCGTGGGATATTTGCTGCGGGGGCTCGTGTCAAATTTCAGACTAGGTCTCGTCATTTTCCTGATGGTTCCGTCAGGCCAACCCGAGTCCGCCGTCTCCCCGATTTGAAATGGAACCATATTCCATCACTCTTACGATTGCAACATTTTTGGGCGAGAGCCCCACTTTTGAAAAGGCACAGCGCTACATTCTCGTAGTTCTTGCACGGTTTGCCCTATTTGGGTTTGCCTACGGCTTCTCATGTGTTCGTGAAGAGACCGGCGGGTGCTGGACGCGGTCGCGCCTGGATTCCCCCGGGGTTGCTTTGTGCTGTGTTTTTTCTTGTGGCGTTCCCGACTTGGCCTGCTGGCGTGCCCCGGCGTTGCTTTGTCGTGTTTTCTTACCTCCAGGCCTTTTAGATGGGGTCGGAGTAATAATGGGGTCGGAGGATCGCGCCGCATCGCCGAAGCATCGCCGAAGCGGCTCGATGTAGAGCCCGGCTTGCTTAACGCGGACGCCGCCAATGCGTCGCCGACGTCGACGATCCATCGCTTGTGCATCCCCGACGCATCGCCGATGTAATGGCGATGCGGCGAGATCCTCCGACCCCATCTACTCCGACCCCATTGGTTGTTTGACATTGTTTTTTTATTGTTGCGTCGCGTTCCCTAGTGTTGATTAGTCGTGTTTCCCTCCTGCGTTCCTTTGGTTTCTTGCTTGTGCTTTCTGACTGCATTCCCATGGTTGCTTTGCCCTTTTTCCGGCCATCACCGACTAAAGCTAAGCAGTGCTTGTGATGGGGGAGAAAAAAGGCCCTGAGAGACATGATTCCGGAGTTGTTTTGATTTGCAGCTTTTGGCTTTCTGGGGCCTTCCTTCCACGGGCCTCGGGACTGCCAGAAATGAAGAACCCGTTTTCGGGGAAGACCCTGGGGTCCAGGGCCTGCTTCCAGCAGGACCCGCTTCCCCCATGCTGAATGCCATGCAAGTCAAGAAAGTCCAAGCAACACCAAGCAATGCAAAACACCGCGAAGCAACGCAAAGCAATGCGAAGCAACGCCAAACAATGCCAGGCAACGCCAAACAACGCTAAACAACGCCAGGGATCGCATAGCAATGCCAAGTAACGCCAAACAATGCTGCACAACGCCAAATATCCCAAAGCAGCGCCAAGCAATGCGAAGAAATGCCAAATAACGCCAATGGCAAGCAACACCAGACATCGTCAAACAACGCAAATCATTGTCAAGCAATGCTAAGCATCGCCAAGCAATGCCACACCACACGCACACACACACACACACACTTTTTTTCCGTCGGCGGCTGGGCAGAGGTTACTGCTCCTGCGATCGGGCATCAGTGGGGCGCGCTAGATGCAATTGGGCCGCAATGCACGGTGGAAGAGGAGAGGACGCCTGGCGCGGACGGGAAGAACACACACACGCACGCAAACAACGCCAAGCAATTTAATTTAAACAAATGCCATTCAACGTCAACCAATGGAAGCAACGCCAAGTAACGCCAGGCGGTATAGCTCATTTTGTGCTCTTGGAGACCCTCTGATCGGGTCCAGCTCGCCTCACGGTACCACCACTCCAGTGCACTCCATCTCTACCCCTTCGCCGGCGATGCTCACCACGCCAGCGGGCTCTCCCGCTCCCAGTGGCCTCGCCGTGCCGGCACGCGCTGGATGGGTCTCAGTCGCACGGTTACCCCCCGACACTGTGATTTGGTTGATTTGGGGCTGGCTAGTGTGCTGAGTGGTCCAGCCTTCAGCTTCAGGTACAGTCCTTCAGGCCCACCTTCAGCCCCCCCAGTGCGTTGCACCACGGTCCACGACTGCTCAGCCGGCTTGGCTTACGCAGGTCATCCGTTTGGAGTCTGGCGCCACATCGGCGACTCACCCCTGTGGCCATCCCATCTTCACCTTGCACAATGACTTGCCCACTGAGGTCCGCGGGTCCTGCGCGGGTCTTGTGTTGGCCACTTGAATTCTGGTCATTTGGTCCAGTGCACGTGCCCGAGCTTGCAGTGCGCCAGCCAGTTAAGCGTCACCCAGCCTGCAGCTGCCGTCTGAGGGGGCCGGCCGGCGCGCCAGTCCTAGCCAATTAGCCTCGCCCGTGGCCCGGACGTTGCCTTCGCCGCCTGACCCTTGTCTCGTGGCCGCAACCAAAAAGTATGCAGTGAAATTAAAGGCTGGGGAAGCCGTCGTTTCCCGAAAGGGAGAGAATGGAGGAGGAGGGCGGGCAGACTCAGAAAGGCCAGAGGCCTGTTGGAGGCCTCTTGCGGCGTCTTGGGGGCATCTGGGTGGTCCAGGGGCCTCTTGGGGCGTCTCGAGTGCCTCTGAGGGGCCCTTTGTGGCGCCTCGAGGGTCTCTTGGGAGCCTCTGGGGTGCATCGTGGGGGCCTCTCGGGTGCCTCTCGGGGCCTCCTGGGCACATATTGGGGCCATCTTCGCCCTCTTCGGGAGTCCTGGGGGCCATTTTCGAGGACGCCGATCAAAAGAGAGGGGCTCCTTCATGCCACACCCCACCCCCCGAAGGTGGCCAAACTGTGCCCAATCCTTCGTAACATGAATGATGTTCGCTTCCTCGTCGAAGCCAATAAGCAAGCTTTGTCACCCCGCGACGCCGCCAGTCCAAACCTCGGGTATGGGGCAGGGGGAGGAGTAAACCCCTCTTTGAACGGGAAGACTGACGATGGAAGAGGACAACCCTTAAACCACTCACGCCCTGAATGGCTGGTGTGATCACGAAACGCAGCGCCCAGCAACGCCAAACAAAATCAAACAATGTCGAGCAACGCCAAGCAAGGCAGTTCAGCGCAATTTACCGCCCAAATGCCGAGCAGTGCCAACACACACCAGGCCATAGCAAGCAATTCGCAGATGTAGAGGAAGCTTTCCACTCATTGGGGCCGCGCCGCGTTCCTTAAAACGCATGTGCGCGCCGCGGGTGCATCAAGAGTTCCATGTCGAACACGCCCCGCGATCCTCCCTTGTAAAGGGCGCGTGCTTCTCAGACGAATGTATGCGTGTGGCCAAGAGGTAGGATCCGCATTTTGAAGACGGTCCGCCCTCCATTATTGGCATTGGTGGGACGCCAGTTTGACGCTTAGGAACGTCCATGATTTTTGGAACTGGTGTGGCGTTCTTGTAATTGTTTGGAACGTCCATTCTTGTAATTATTGCAATTGTAGGGCAAAAGGTTGACCGACAGCAGTTCCTGATCATTTGAATTGGATGTGTTGTCGGTTTCGCCGCGGCCGTTGTTCAGTCGAGACAGACGGGTGCCTGGCGAACGGCGACCGCTGTCAGTTTGGGGCACCATTTGCTGCTGGGCATCGTGCTCATTTTCTCCGTACCCATGTCGGTTGTCCACAACGGCCTTCAGGATTGCCATGAAGGAAACGGGTCCTGGGGGAATCGCCGCTGTTTCCGAGCTCCTGGGATCCTCTCTGGGCCCAGGGATCGTCAGGAAACGCTTCATGGTGACCACTTGGTCCTGCGGGATGGCCCTGGGATCCAGGGCCCGTTTCACTCGGACCCGCTCGCTTCATGCCAACCCAGGAGTCGGTTTTGGAGTTGGAGGCCAGAAGTGAGATGTACACGAATACGCAGACACGTTAGGCTGCAATTCTTGGGAGATCACATTTCGAATCGGCGCTGGTATAATATCTTGGCCTAAGACGTGTCCAATCTTGCTTAATCCCGTTTAGGCTTGCTTAATCCCGCTTCATCGGGGCGTTATCCGGCCCAATCCGGCCCAATCCGGTAGAGTTGTTTGTTTTAACGGCCCCGAGAGTTCTTAAACCTTCTGCCCAAGACCTCCGCAGAGTTGCCTCCCAAGACACGGCCAGAGTCAGAAGATCGGGGAACCGACGTCGGTAGCATGTGGACCGACGTCGGAGGATTACGGGCGCTGGAGCCTGCGGCGGGAGCCGGAGTCGGAGAGCGGGGACCGGAGAGAGCGGGGAAAGCGGGCTTGGGTGGCTCCCGTGGTCGTGGAGGTAGTGGCCTGTGTCTTACCAGCTCGAAGTATACCCCTATCCTTGTGTTTGGCATCACCTCGCCTCGATGCCGATCTCAAGGATCTGTTCGGCCCCCGAGGGCACATCCCTAAGATTTCCCTCGCTTCTCGCTCGTCCATCTCGGGGACAGGGATACGTTCGAGGCTGGTTCGCGTCGGAGGGAGGAGGGCAAGTCTCGGGCACCGAGACAGCACCACGAAGTCGATTGAGAGCAGCTGCGCCAGCTCTTTCGGCATTGCCACTCGAGCGTGCCAGTGCCTGCCCTGGTCGTCTTCGCTAATCGACGCATCTCGCTGGATACCCACCAGCCACCAACCACCCTAACCCAACCCGAAGGCCCCAATTTGCCCTCCATTCCCAGTGTTGGAGGCTTCGAAATTGGCACCAACACCAGAACAGGGGGGCGCGCGCCCACCGGGGGAAGAGGATCAGAGATTTCGGTGTTGGTGGCAATATTTCGGCCGCCTAGGAAGCCAGAGTATTACCACCATCACCGAGATCGGGGTCATCTCTCCTCGGTTGAGGCACGCCGCCAATTTTGATGTTGGTGTCAACCGCTGAGCCTGCCACAGTGGGGGGGGCGTCGGGGAACATGGGCAAACACACGGATGGAACCCGCACCCCCCCAACCCGAAAATCAGGTCTTTGGGTTGGGTTGGGTTGGGGTGGTCTGGTAATTAGGTAGTCAGGTGCATTGAGTTGTCTGTGGACGTCGCCTCGCTACCTGGAGGCCACTCGGAATGCGGTGCCGTGCCAACGTGGAGTGCCCTTGGCAGCTTGCATCAAGTCGGCGTCGCCCAAGCATACTGATACTATGTGTGCGTCGCCCCCCCCCCCCCCAGGAGCGACGCGGGCGCCGAGAAGTCTTGTAGTATAAGCTCCGTGGTGGGCGCTGTCTGGCCATACCGAAATTACATAAAAAACTAGATATTACACGATGGTTATATTAAATGTCCAGGTCGGACGCACGCCCCAAAGGAGGAGACACAGTGACAGTGTGTCTTTGTGCGTCCCACTGCAGGGCGCTTTGGGTGTGCCCTGGCAGCAAGAAGAGCCCCCTGCGTTCCTCAATCAGCTTTCTCTTCCTCCTCGTCCTCCTCGTCCTCCGCCTCCTCCTCTTCCTCCTCCTCCTCCTCCTCGTCTTCCCTCTTCCTCCTCTTTCTTCCTCGTCCTCCTCCTCGTCCTCCCCTTCCCTCTCGTCCTCCTCATGATAGTAGCTCATCAGGATACATCGATCCAGGACGTTCCTCGGCTGCGAGCGAAGGGGGCGGGCCTTTCTCGGAAGGCTCGGAAGTCCCCCAAACTTCGGAGAAGTGTCCTAAGCCTTCCCAGATGACACAGCAAACGTTTCAGAAGGCGCGAGGGCTTCTGAGAAGTCCCGCCTGCTTCTGAGAAGGCCTAATTCTTCTCACTTCTCCCCTCGCTCGCCGCCGACTTCTGCAACGCTCTCAGAGCGTTTCTCAACGCGTCGGAACTGGCCGCAACGGCCGATACATCGTCTAGATCCGCGCCGGTCCTCAGAGATGCCCAGCCTCGCAGGGGCGGAGCGTGGGCCTCGAAGCTTTCTAGTTCCTGCTCTGCGGCGGGCGCTTTCTGGCCCTCCCTCGGGGGCAGCGACGCTGTAATGCTTGTGCGCCGCACGTTCGGGTCGCACGTGCGTGTCCATCAGAAGCACATCGTACCAGCCTGGCACCCAAGAGTCGGGTGTTGCTAGAAGTGCCCCATGGCCCGAGGTGCCCCCAGGAATTCCCTGGAGGCCCCCACGGCCGCCAGAGCACCGCTCTCGAGGCCCAGAGGGCCCTAGGGGCTCCAAGATTAGGCGAAGAGCTGGGGGCACCTCGGGCCAGGGACACCGTTGGCAACCCCCGAAGACAGGGGGGCAAGCGGGGCGGCCTTCTGCGCAGGCGGCGGGGCTTCTCGGAAGGCAGAGGGGGCCGCCCAGTCTCGGAGCGAAGCCGTCCGAGGAGCCTCCTGGGGCCTGTGATGGGAGGTCCCTGCCTTCCAAGAGGCCCCCTCCGCCTAGGTAGGCCGCCCCCCCGGGCGCCACCCCGCCATTGTTTCGGGAGACAGGCACGGGGGGGATGCGTTGACCCCAGATCGCCCACTGATCGCCCAGATGGGCCGGGTAGCCCCAACCTGCCCAGGAGCATGCGGGTTCACGATGTGGGCCCCATCGCCGAGCCATCGGCGATGCAGCGTCGATTTCCAGGTCGATGTCCCCCCCCCCTATGCCAGTCCCCTCCTATCGATGCCCCTCAGTATAATCAAATCGGGCATGTCCCTCTACAGGTGGCAAATTTGAAGATCGTGAAATAAGTTTCTGGGGATGATGTTGCTACTATGTGTTTGACCATTGTTGAACGTTTGTGGACTATGTTTCAACTTTCGTCCAAAATCCGCGTGTAGGAGGGCATGCCCGACCTGACAACAGAAGTACCTAGTCCCCCGCAGTTGCGGATAAGGGAGAGGGGTGCCCATCCCCTGTGTCCATCTCAGTGCCCATCCCCAGTGCCCATCCCCAGTGTTCATCCTCAGTGTCCATCCCCAGTGTCCATGGGAAGAAATAATCCCGTACGGGGGGCACCCCTCTCTTTGATCACGACGGGCCCCAGATCCAATCTTTCTGCGTGCTGCCGGGGTTCTGGCTGCGCGCGCTTCTCCCTGCTCTCCTTCGGGCCGCGAGCCGCGCGCGCCCTCCAGGAGCTGTTCGACGAGACGGCCGTCGTCGTCTCCGCCACCGCGGCGGCCCAGGCGGCCCGCCCGCCTGTGTGGGCCACCGAGGTCCTGCTGTTGGGGCTCACGGGGGTCAGCGCTGAATGGGTAAGATCCTCGATCGATCCTCGATCCTGGAGCCCGATCCCCGATCCTCGATCGATCTCCGACCCCCCATCGATCTTCGGTCGATCCTCGATCCTCGGATCTGGATCCTCTGGCTTGAACCGGTTCTGGGAGCCACCTGGAGACGTGTTCGTTGTTTTTGGTAGTTCAATCCCTTGGCGAACGGGCTGGACTGGTGGGGGGGGAGGCGGGGGAGGGGGCTGGTCACGTCACGGCTCGCGCCGGCGCCGTTTGGGAATGCAAGCAAGGGTTTGTCCAAGACGGCGTCGGCGCGAATCGTTACGTGATCAGGGGGGGGGGGCTGGTCACGCATGGGGTGGCGTCGTGAACACGGACAACCTCGCATAGTTAGGATCAGCAACTGTCCAAGGCTACCCTTTCATCCTTGCCCCTTCGGCCCATCCTTAGCGACTTTCGCTGGTCGACCTCGTTCGGAAACGTTTGCATGTCCCTCTTAGGCCCTTACATCCTTACCGCGCATCCTTATTATACGGGTTGACTGCATTAAATGAATCTGGCGCGACCCCCATTAGGGGAAAGTCTCTTATTGCATGGGCGCAGTGCTTGTCATTGTTTGGCAGTGCTTCGCATTGCTTAGTATTGCGTGGCATTGCTTGGCATTGCTTCGCCTTGTCTCGCTTGCTTAGTATTGCTTGGCAGTGCTTGGCAGTGCTTGGCATTGCTTGGCATTGCTTGGCATGTGGCTCAGAGGCACCAGGGGCGGAGAACTCGGGGAACCCGAGGAAACCCGGGGATCTCGAGGAACCTGGAACCGGGGAAACCAGAGGAACCCAGGGAACCTTGGGAACCCGAGGAATCCGAGGAATCTGGGGAACCCAGGGAACCCAGGGAACCCGAGGAACTTCGAGAAACGGGCAGCGTATCCATAGGAGGCACCGGGGGCGAGGAACCTGGGGAACCCGAGGAAACCAGGCAACCTCAGGAACGGACAAAGCAGCCACCCGAGGCACCAATCTTCAGCCAAGTAAGAACCCCTCCTAAGCAAGCCTGACTGCGGAAAAACTGGCTCCGGAAGCCGACCCCAGGTGCAGCAGGGATGGGTTATTTAGGTAACCCACCAGAATATGCTGTGTTGGCTTGCTCGAGCGTTGAATGTGTCCAGTACGTTGGAGTTGTATGACGTTGTAAATACATGTTCTTCCATCCGCAGAGGGGCTTTCAACAGCATTATCGATTTCAGCCTTGACTTGATTGGCCGCCGCTTGTTGTGGCGGCACCATGAAAAGGGCAACCAGTTCGTTTGCGGTAGGAATTCACATGCAGTATGTTTTTCCTGTGTCATCTATTGCATCAGGCATGTTCAGTCGCGCTTTTGGGGCTGATGATGTAGGTCCTTGGCAGGAGCGCGTAAAAGCACAAGACGGATCATTCGTGCGTCTACCCGCTGGAACTCCAAATCGCATCACATCCTGTTCTTGCTCTTTCTTTTGCTCATGCTCCTCCTCCTCCTCCGTCCCTTACCTCCCTTCTGTTCCTTGTTCCCCCAGCTTGACACTGGCCGCAGACAGATACGGTCTACGGCTGCGGTCGTGTTGTTTTCGCGATGTTGCACTTGCTCCGTAACGTCGCACCGGGGCTAGAATGGTGGCAGGAGGACGGAAAAGGAGAGGCGCGGGAGGGGAGGAGAGGGAGCCGGCATTCTGCTTCGAAGCCGGCACTCGAGGCAGGGGGGTCAGGATTTAGCATCACGCTTCGGAGGTCCGCACGGATCATCCGGATGTCTCGGATTATGATGGTCCCATTTACTTGCGCCTTGATCACCAGAGAGAATGCCGAGCACCAAGGGAGCATCGAGCCCAAAGGGTTTTCGCGTGTCGGGCCCGGCGCGGCGATGCTCGTTCGACACTGCTCCTATGCTTCGCGGGGTGCGCGAGATTGTTTCTAGGGCGTGGTCCTCGAGTACGACAGGAGCAGCAGACGTCTTGGGGAGCGGCGACGGGCCTCCCGTGGCGGCGCCTGCGGCGCCGCCCCAAGGCGCGCGCGATCCGCACGCCCAGGGGGGGAGGGGGCGGGGGCGATCCAAGAGATCCGCGCGGAGCGCCACAAGTTTCTGTTTATGGCGCTTTTTCTTTTCCTACGATTGAGTCGGGCCTGTCTGTCTACAGGAGGAGTACTCGAAAATAGTAAACAAATTATCCCAGCAAAGCAACCTAACAGCCATGTGTATGAGCATATATGGAAGCATTCTTCTTTAGATTCATGTTCGGATTTGACTGGAAGCGAAACGCTGCGATCAATAGTGGACGTGTCTGAAAAGGAGGCACTACTATCAACGAGACAGCATATTCTTTTCTCCATCCCAAACGAGACGCTGCTATGCAGGGGTGTAGATGCAAACGAGACGCTGCTATCAATGGTTTCCGCCCCAAACGAGACACGAGTATCAATGGATTTAAT